TTGATTCCAACTTTTATGTGAGTAAAAATTCCTAAAGATGTGTCAAACTACTCAACCTTATTTAGATAAACTATAGTTTAGATAAATTTACAGACAATAAATAAAACTATTATTTACTAAACATAGAGTGCTAAAATACATAGTATTGCTATTCACACAATAAGGAAATATAAAAATCAACTAATTCTAACACTATAACACTGGAAACAAGCACATGCATTATACATTTTTAAGCCCACCCTAGCAACTTAATCTCCATAATAATAACTAAAATATTTTTATCACATGCACTATTATCTCCTCACTTATCATATGTCCCCACTGAATGGCTCAGAGCCTATCGTAAGTTAGAGGCGACTAGGACATGTCAGCCACTCTAGCTCACTGCATGTTGGTTGACTTAACATATCTTAAACTTTTTTCGTCGATATGTACAGGATAAATTATGAGTACATATGAAAATCGAAAATTTAAATTCACATTGGTACATGGCGGGATTCGAACCCAGGATAAGAAGTCAAGTGTTTAAACTTCTGAATCTCCAACGCTCTTTTTACTTACTGCAGTATAAATATTTTTAAACCTTAAATATCATACAATAATTTGGAAATTAAATGTACGTGAGGTTCGAATCCTATTGGAGACGTTTATACAGGCTGATTCTTAACGGTCGGATCAACGGTTTTGTGGAGGTAGAGGACCACAAGAGAGATTATTTAAACACAAAGTATGTTGCTTGGTTTTCTATAGTTTTAAAGTTATTTAATTTTTTGTAAAAAACTCGGAAAAAATAGGTTTCGGTAAATTTGATCGTACGTCCAAAATAATGTATTTACAGTGATCATTTTTTTCTTTAACTATTTTATTTACACCAACTTTTTTTCTATAAGATTTTTCAAAAACTTCGCCCATGTCTATACTATAGAAAATCGGGCAACATTCTTTGCGTTTAATGATAGCTATTGAGGTCTGCTACCTCCACAAAACCGTTGATCAGTCCGTTAAGAATCACCTGTATATATCTTACTTAGTTAAATACATTTTTTACGTTGACGTGTAAGAACGGTGGTACGATAATAAAGTATTAATAAACCATACTACTTAGTAGTGTAGGAGTACTTCTATAAACAGTAGTCGAATTTCTAAAGATACAATGTGTTATGTATCGTAATGGCAAGTTATTAGGCGAAAGTTGTTTTAATATTTTACCAGTTCCCTCGTAAGCATTGACTTTATATCATTAAGACATTGATCTTTATACTTCGAAGAAAGGATATTCGTAAAGAAACGTGAACATTCGATTTTACTCATCTCTCCCATCAACAAATATGAAGTTACTTCAACGGATAAAAATCCCATACCATCGCTTAACGACCATGTGTAAATTCTTTCAACGGATTCTGGGCAGAGACAAAACTGCACAATACCACTAATTAACATATCTTTTAGCGTTTCAAATAAGAATCTATCGGCTAATAATAACGCTTCGAGACATATCTCCAAGGTTTCCGTTGGAAATACTACAACTTCGCTTTTTGGGTCGTTCAAACCATTTTGTAACAGCGTAAACAAATATTCGAGCGCCGATTTTGTCGCTTGTCGCAATCGTACACAACTTTTACCGGATTCCATAAAACATCCCTTCAACATTGCAGTAAACACTTCGGAATTCTGACAGAGGAACAATTTGTTAGCTCTAACTGTACTCAAATCGTCTAATTCGAAAGTAACAATATCATTGTCTAAGAGATTATCGAGTATTGGATCGTAACTAATGGATACCTTATCTTTATATCTATTCTGTAAAATCCTTGGATCCTTAATATTTAAATTATTAGCTAACTTAATTAACCCCGCAATGGCGATTTCACTGTCTTCGCTGGATTCGGAGATTATAGTAAGTAACATAGTCAACGCGTTGCAATCAATGAAATATTTCTTTAAAAGGTTTGGTACGCTGGAATATGAAAGCAATATTAATAATATTTATTGAAGGGTAATCGATCCGCGAATTCACAATTTGACTGTGCGGTCGTATAATGTAAAATATTGTTAAATTCATTAAATTTTACCAACCATACTAGAAAGGGTAGTGTAATGGTTATTGTTTGTTTAACGTCCGGGCTCCCCTTTTGCAATTGATAGCATATCTCGCCTATTCCGTAGCTAGATTCCGCCATTATTGTTAAACGAGCTAGGAGTTTCGAGTATAATTTAAAAATCTGAAAACAAACATTTAAGGATTCAATAATTATTAATGCAACATGAAAAACGCAATCTCTTTGGACTTACCTCAACACATTGTGAACATTCGTTCCTAGGATGTTTCGAATTCTGTGTTGTATTATACAATCTAAGTGGAAATCTTTCTTTTAACACATTCATAAAAGAAAGAGGACTGCTGTAATTAAAAAAAATCAAATAAAAACACAATACTACCCATATACACGTAAGTAAAATGATATCTACCTCGCAATTCTCTTTAGTAAACGTGAGGGTTCTCTGAAAGTAGAATTGGAACGTTCGACATAGTTCAATAGTCCATTAAAACAATCCGGTCTAGACAGTAAATATATCTTATCATCTGGATCTATTTCATTTTCCGTTTCTAGTGACTCTTTACTCGCCACTCGGAGTAGTAGAATAAAAACACACCCTATGTCCGTCAATTTGAAGTTCATGACCACGTTATGGTTATCATCATCATCGTCATCATCATCTTCTTCTGCAATTAAAAGTATCAATTAACCACATAAAAGTTTTTCACAGATTATGCAAATAAGGTTAAATCTTTATTTAATGACGGTATAGCCCTAACATTACTTTATCAAAAGGTTCTAGATAACTTGGCTGGCTCTCAACGTGAGTTACCTTTCTCAAGTCACTTTTGATATTTAGTTACCTTGTGAATTTTCTTGATCATCTTCACTTTTATCATCAGCCGTATCTAACTCATCTGAATCGTGGTCGACTTCGGAAGCTTCTAGATTGAGGAGTTTGTTCGCGGTCAGTTTGGACGCGCTACCGTCTGCCTCCGGCTCACTACACACCGGCGAATATCTACCAGATATCTCTGAATCTGCACTATCTGCGTCATAGAATAAATATACAAATAAAACAAAAGCAATAGATACAGCACAAAAGAATATAAGACATGGTTTTACCTTCACTAATACTTAATGGTGAAGTAGGACTACTGGAACTTTGAGGACTCCAATCAGCCCAGTACGGCGATGCAGAACTACCCTCACCCGCGCTGACACTGGACTCTGGACTCCAGTCATATCGCATCTTTTTCCTTGCCGGTCCGTATTCAGGACTTGCCGGTCCAGATTGATTCATGTCGGAACAAGGTGACAAAGGATACAAGTCATTTGGATCTGGAGTAGACGGTAGGACTTGAAATAGCCATCCATCGGTCTTATGTTCGCATCTCACATAATTATTCCTCCTGCTACGTACTAACTCAGCATACGTTACTGGCTTCTAAAAAAAAATTATATTTAATATATAGTTGAACTTATAATCAAATAGGAATCGAATAATAAAAAAGGAATAGAAACCCTAAAAATGTAAAAAAAATGTTTACTCAGCAATGGTAATATCAAGAGAACGTATGATAGATTTCTCTGCAAAATGAAAATTAATATTCGCAAATCACGTTAAAGTAGCGAGGAAGTCAATTTTAGTTTTTCTTACAAAGGAAAAAAAACTTACATTTTTGCTCCTTATATTACCGTATCTGTCGATACTATCCCTAGAACCTTCAATCATTTTAAGTAATGCTAAATTTGGTTCTGAATTATATTTATCAGTTTCCCATCTTTTCTTGTGTTCAATATCCATTGTTGAAACATGCTCATTTAATTTTTCTGTTAGTAAATTTATTAGACCCACGTTAACGAAAATTTCGAATGCTAAAATAATACATTTTGAATGTAAATTAAATTTATCTAGCACAATAAAATACTTGGTTTAAACAGTTTTTCAGACTAAAGTTAATTATCATTCTAATCTTAACAATTTTTCTTTACAAAATTTGCAACACAGCACTTGTATTTAGTGTAGTGGATACCTATAATTTTTATATAAATTATGGGAACTTAGATAATGTTAAAGAAAGTTACAGTAACGGAGTATGGAATATCACTACCCATACTAACCTATGGAATCAAAATAGTATTTAATGAAAGAATGCATGACATTTGTGTTGACTCTTGCTGCTGATATAAGTAGGGCCAAGCCATCGCATTCGCGGATGCGAAGTCGATTTAGTGAGTCACTGCTCAATAGGGCAAGAGCCTTTCCTGATCCCTCCGGCCACCATGATACATCTGAAAAAAAAAATATATATTTACAAGCTCAAATTTATTTTAATTTAAGAAAATATAATTCAAGAGATATCATATATTTAAAATATTAAATATATGTAAGTTATGTTTTATAAATTCAAAAAATTACCAGATAGTTTTTGCAATATCTCAACTAAACATTCCACAAAGCCGGCTGTGCCTAACAGAGGCAGAGAATATGTGATATGGCATAAATTGGTTAAACATTTTAGTGCAGTAGACTCAAATAATTTTGTCAACGCAACTAAACACTTGTATCCCCTGCCATCACCCTGTATCTGTAAAAGTCACTCAAGTAATGGTAAAAAATATGAATTTAACTCTGTAAAATCTGTCCATAACAAATAATATTTAGTACCTGTTCAGCGCATTGTTTATTAGAGTATGTTGTAAAATATCCTAAGCATTTTAGAATACCATTAATGAGTTCCTCTTGGCTTTTCCCTAATTCCTCTACTTCACTAATGGGATTAGGTGAATCTAGGATACCGGCAGATTCACATTGCACTGTTAACAATACAGCAACACATTTTACAGCATTTACACTTAGCATTTCCTCCCTTTTGTCTGTTACCATCCAAAGTTGCCTAGAGTACATAAATTAAGAATTAATAATTTAATTATCCATAACATGTAAACGCAACATCTAGTTTTTTTTTATAATATAAGGTGGGAAACAAGCAGGAGGCCACCGAAGTGGAAAGCGACCCTGTTGCGAGCATAATTGATAGAAACTACTTTTGTCATTAAAAAAGCTACATTTTCAATGAGTAATACATCACAAATATTACTAGTTTTTCCTTAATTCTGCACAAACAAAATCACCTAATAAATATTACTATTCATCTGAACTGTAAGAAAACATATACAACATCCAAAATTTCTATAACTTACATCCAACAATGAATAATAGATGTAGTATAGTTAACATACAATGAATATGGTTTTGACAAGTTCCTAAGTTTACAATAGAGAAAATCTTTTTTCTTACCTAATTGCACGAACAGCCATTGTTAATGTAGCAATTGATGTGTTGTTGTCTCTATTTTCAATTAAAGCAACAATCACTTCTACTGCTCCCTGATCATGTAATCCTTTAGCATTGGAATGTCTTTGTGCTAAATTGCCTATTAACCTACAGGTCCTTCCTAATATACTGTCTCGATATACAGTCTTTAATATAGATATTAAAGGGCGAAATATATTTGATTTTCCAACCTTAAATGACATTAAATTCATTACTACAAGTCTTATAATCTTGTATCTATTCTTTATCAAATACAAATACATATAAAAGAATAATTTTCTCATCAATGTGCCAATATGAAGGTAGTTTGTTAAATACACATTTCGAATTTCGGAATCTTAAATAATTGTGGTGCGTGACTACAAGTTCAGCGCTTATTTGACTGTGCCTCTAACATAAATTTTTAACTGTTTTGAAGGGAAATAGGTATACATACCATAAGACTGCTTTCTTCATCTATACAGCAATTGCCAAGGATACTTAGAGTTGTATTCAACATCCTTTCATTTGGTTTTCGAAGAAGAGGTAATAAACTATGTAAGCCACCACAGTCTCTAAATGTTTTCAGACCCTGACTACTGGTAATTACATTATTTTTAATTTTTAATAGAGTGTCTTGAATACGAGTTGATGAAGTAGATTTCAGGCCTTTTATAATAGTTTCTATATCGTTTTTATCCATCTTTTATCCTTTCATAGATTTTATCATCAAAAAAAATTAACAATTTTAATCAATGTAACATTTTTTAAAACAATAAATCAATTTTATTGTTTGAAGGCAACCACAAAATAAAATCATTATTCCATTGTCAAAAGTGACATAAACTGACATTTGAAGAAAAATGTGTTGGAATTTAGAACATGAATTATAATTATTTCATCAAATTCAAAAAAAAATTAACTTTCAGTTATTTTAAACTTTATGAAAATATTTTTTATTAAAGATTTCTAGTTATGCACTTCTTTGACATATTAAGATTTTTTGGCTGTACGGAATGTGTACCACAGCTCAAGTACCTGACAGCAATGTAAAAAATAAAAAGAAGATAATAAAAATTACATTTTGAGATGACAGAATTTCTGATACGTTTTTTACATTGAAACTAGTGTGTGATACTGTGATTGATAATAATTGTAACATAAAATTGTCATGAAATCGTTTTGTGAGAGATGAGCGTCTTCGGGGATTTTCAACGTGTGTGGGTGCAACGATTTCCTGAAAGTGCCTTGCCAGCCGCTTGGGAAGAAGATGTCAGGGCCAATTTGGCAAAACATAAACAGAAAGTAGCTATACTTAGAGAAGAATTGGAGAAGGAGGAATTTTACGTTGAATATTTGGAGACATTGCTGTCAGATGTTGAGAAGCATAAAGCAGCTGCTCAAAGCAATAGGGCGGCGCCGCCCTCTGGGACTGACACCAATGACGATAAGACTCCTGATAGCAAACAGGTATCGTGTTACCTTTATATTTTTTTTAAAACAACTTTGATAATAAATATTAGATATTACTTTAGTAAACATTTGAATGTTTTCTTTTTAATAGTATTTTTATTCATAAACTTCCATGAAATTTGTTGTTAAGTTAATATGGTTGTAGTTTTTATTTAATTGGAATTAATTCTTATTGCACTCTTGTCCCAAACAATTCATGATTATTCTTTGTTATTATAGTGCTAAGACTAAGGATAACTAGTATGAATCATCCTATTTTGTTCTAACAGTTGTGTGGCATTTCTAAGAATTATTAATTGGGTATAATATCATACTTATACTAATATTATAAATGCAAATGTTTAGATGGATGTTTATTAAAGTTTGTAGCCTAAATGGGTAAACCGATTTTGATAAAATTTAGTATAAATGTAGAGGATAGTCTGGAAGAACACATAGGTTACTCACTTTTTTTTAAAATTTCATGTGGACAGTGTCTAAGGCGAAAACTAGTTATTTATACATTAAATAATACAGACATATTAATTTAAAGCATACTTAATGCTGAAAAAGAAGAATTGTATTTGTTATTCATAGTAACCTTATAAATATCCATGAGTAACAGTGTCTGCAATATACTTGATAATCAATTAACTGTATCTTATGCTTGGATCATTTAACATTTGCAAATGTATGTAGGTTATTATTTATTTACTGTTCTGATTGTGAGTTTACATTGACTAAACACATACAAAAAACATATAGAAGTGAATCTTTGATAAAAGTAAATATTTTTTATAATAATCTAATTTTTTTTTAATGAACTTTGGGAACTGCTTTTGTATGCTTTTAGTTTTTTATATTAGACAATATATGAATTAGAAGAGTAATATTTTTATAGTTCAACAATTATATTTGGTATATAGTAAATGACATGTGTAGAGGTGTACTCCTTATAATAATGATTCATTTAATGTCATTTATTATACAGATAATAAATGCATTTATACCCATGACAGTAACCATTGTTTAATGATTTTTCAACATATCAATCCACACTTGAATACCAAGCTAAAGTGAATCATATACTTAAAGGACTGCTATTTGAATTTATCACTAATTTACTTGTTTTGTTATGGTGTGTTAATCCTGGAACTTTAGTTATTTATATATTTATATAGATAATAAAATATGATTTAACAGGAAACTAAGCAATGCATTTGAAGATGTCCTTAAGTAGAATTCTTAAGGAATTCATTATTTCTTATTATACATTATTAACAGCAAATTAATGTTATTTTTTGTTTTTGTGCTAAAATAAAAATCATTAATACTGTTTTAGGAATCAAATACAGATTCACTGTCAAAGAAGAGTGAAATTAGTTTGACAAGTAGTAATAATGAAGAACTTACTAATGAACCATTAGAGACTGAAGAGGTGCATCTCAGGCCAAAGCCAGTGCATATCGGAGAGAGGAGTTCTGTTAACCAATGCATCACTGAGCTCTCTACAAATCTAGCTGTAGAGGCCAGGAGAAGGTGTAATAGTGAAGTGGTACAAAGAACTGAACCAGAAAATGATAGTAATGGTAAGAAATTGCAATAACATTGTGTTTATGAATTCCTTATATAAGTTCTGAATGTTTTATAATAATTATAAATCATTATTTACAGTAGCTGTAGAACAAAAAAGTCCAACTAATGCTAAAAACCGTCCAATGTCTCAAACTGGTGATTTTGTAACAGTAATTGAAGTAAATGGTCTGAAAGCGGCTGAGAATGCATCTAAAAAGACTGAGAATTCACCGCAATCACCTGAAAGTGCTACTGCGGATTCAACAGTAGCAGCTAAGAAAAAAGTCCCACCAAAGTAAGTTCTTTTTGCAGTCTCTTATGTGTGCAGAAAAAGTAAATGTTTTTTTAATCTGGTTAAAATTATTTTAGTGTGTTTGATGGTCTTTTTTGGTAACTCGAGAACAAATAACTTGTTTATTTAACTACAAATTTAAATTTTATGCATAGGTTTCTATTCTATTTATCCTATTATTGTCGATATTCATTATTATTTACAATATAAATTAAATTCCTTTTTTCATAATTAACAAAACATGACCTATTAATGAGTTTTAAATATATCAGATCTTTTTTATTTTTCTAATAGGCCTCCACCGAAAGTGTTCAGCAAACGTGGTGCATCATTACCAGAAAGTGGCCTTCCAGAAGACAGCCCTCCTTCCTCGCTGGGACGAAGACTTCGGAATGCTGAATCCCGAGAGTCTATAGCCAGCCGGGCTTCTACTCCCTCAATAAGTGAAAGGGTAAGTATTTCTACATTTTATTTAGAACATTAAAAAGATGACAGGTTTTAATTTATAAGACTACATTTATTGTAGGTAAAAAGCTATGAATCGATAAATTCCTTGTCTTCTGAACGTAAACGCTCGGGAGGTGCTGCTACTCCGAGGTCAATAGATGAGGAAATAACCTCAACTACACCGGACTTACCTGAGGGGAATGATGCTGACAAATCAGCCCCCGTCTCACTGGAGAGTATTCCAGCGGCAGTTCCTACCAATGAGGATGAACCATATTACGATCAAGTACCAGTTGATATAAATGATGGAGAATATGTTTATATACAAGCAGGTATGTTAATATTACTAATCATTTGCTTTAAAAATCAATCAATGTGAGCAATCTATGGTAATCGATATTATTGAGGGATTTTAGGGATATGTGTTCTTTATAAGAATAATTGTTAGGTGGTACGGGTTCGAGTGAAGATGCGTCGAGTGGCACCAGCACGCTGCCGCTGAGCGCAG